AAATGAGTTTTGTTTGTTTTATAAGTATTCAGTAAAAAATGTGTATGTATAAAATGAATAGATTTTTATTGTTATCAACTCCTAACTAAACTTTTTTTGTTGGGTATGGGAAGCCTTTAAATTTTTGAATCACATTTGGGGAGCTGCTGGAAGAAAAACATTTTGAGTAGCACTGGTCCAGTTAATCATTTTACTGTCTGGGCTAAGCACCACACTAAGAAGGTGTAGAGTGGATATAAGGCTTTCTTCTAGCACTTAGAAACAGATGTCAACTTCCGTTCTAAACATGGTACTAAACCTCCAAGCAGCTGTTAATACAATGAACAACTTGAGATGTGTGATGCAGAAACATGTGCAAAATTGAACAAATCATGTAGGAATTAATGTGAAATCAAAAATGTTAACAAATTTATATCAAAAGCAAATAACCTAATAAACAGTTAAAATTAAATATACAAAATTTTTTAATTAAAATTAAACTAAAGTCGGATGAGCGATTACAACACGTATCTCAAGACTGTTGTTGAATGGTCAGCTTTGAGCTCTCTTTGCTTTATCCTTACAAAAAATTTCCCCCCCACCCAAGAGACGCCCATTGGTTAGGAAGCTTGATGGACCCTAGAGCAGTTCTGGACGCAGTGGTCATAGAAACTAACCGTCTCATAATGCATATTTTGCTGTAGAACTCACCACATGTTTGTTGTTCTTGCCCAATGTTCCATCCTCGGGGTGCCTTTGGTTTGTATAAGAAATCCTTCTCAGACCCTGAGATCCTCTGTTGGTAATTGAGTGTCTGTGTCTTAGGAGGAACAGCAGCAGGTGGTATAGAGTTGAATGTATTTTTGGTATCTGGTGCAGTGGTAGAAGTCCAAGAGGTAGCTTGCTGCTGAGGTTGTGGGATGTTGTAGAGAGATTCAAATTTGTCCTGTGTAGGAGCTGCTATGAAACCTCGAGGTGTTAGAACAGGTGGAAATTCTTGAAATGCTGCATCAACTGAGCCTGTTTCAAGAGCAGCCTCCCATGGTGACTTCACTATTCGTATTCTGGGCTGTGTGAATCGTTCCTGGAACCAGATAGATATTCATTATAACATGTAGAGGTTGAAAATTTGTGCACAACCCTCAAATGTTTGTTTGATAAATACAGCACTTGACAGATAAGATGTGCAATGTGTTCCTACAAGTGAAACTGATGAGAGATATGACTATCTTGACTGACGTTTTCTGTGGTTTCCACCAATTTGTCCAGGCTAAATATGAATTTTGTTTATTTATACGAGGGTCGCTCATTAAGTAATGCCCCACATTTTTTTCCTCAGAACATATTTATTCAAGATGGCTCAAATTTAGTGACAATATAAATCAATGTTTCCTTTACACATACTATTTTTCCACATAGTCCCCATCAACTTGTACGGTTTTACGCCAGCGTGGAACAAGGGCATGCATGCCTTGCCGGTACCAGCTCTTGTCCTGTCCCCGTAGCCATGTCCTCACTGCTTGAATCACGCTCTCGTCATCTTCAAATCTTGTTCCGCGGATAGCATCTTTAAGGGGCCCAAAGAGATGGAAGTCGGAGGGTGCCAGATCTGGACTGTAGGGTGGATGGGGTAGCACCGTCCAACCCAATTTGGTGATTTCTTCCCGGGTTCTCAGACTTGTGTGAGGGCGTGCATTGTCGTGCAGGAGCAAAATTTCTGCTGGATGCTTGTGAGGCCGAACTCGTCGAAAACGCTTCTTGAGGGTTTTCAGGGTCCTGATGTACGCGTCTGAATTGATGGTCGCACCTCTTGGCATCACATCCACAAGAATGACCCCATCACTGTCCCAAAAGACAGTCATCATGACTTTTCCGGCGGAGGGAGTTGTCTTGAATTTCTTCTTTCTCGGTGATTGAGGATGATGCCACTCCATTGACTGCCTTTTTGTCTCTGGCTCAAAGTGGTGTATCCAGGTTTCGTCACCTGTAATGATCCGGGACAGAAAGACCTCTCCCTCAGCATCAAAACGCTCCAACAATTCAGAAGAAATCGTTTTCCTTTGAATCCTGTGGTCTGCTGTGAGACTTCGTGGAACCCATCTTGGAGCTCGGTTTCTTCACTTCCTGAAGCTTTAACTCTCTTAGCCCCGCGACCAACGGTGCTCCTATCGACTGCACAGCTTCCATACACAGCACACCAACGTTTATGAATGTTCACCACCGTTTCTTTTTCAGCAACAAGGAATTCAATTACAGCTCGTTGCTTGTACCGAGAGTCGTTCACAGACGCCATTTTAACAGTTCACTACAGCTCCGCTATCGGTTGGAATCATTTGAAACTCCGTACACGAACGCGGGAAACATCAAATCTCAAGCATGTAAAAGTACACTTTTCTATCTTCATTATTGGCTGAGAAAAAAAATGTGGGGCATTACTTAATGAGCGACCCTCGTACTTTATTTAATGATGCTTCTTCAGTAACTAAGACTACATAGCATCAAATGAGAGGATAATAGTGAGCAATGAATTGCAAAGGATGTTGAAGGAAGCGGTCATGGCACAATATTTAGTACTTCAAAATAGGTCATGACATCTTTCCAATCCATTTCAGTCCAACACCCAACCAATTTAATGTTAATAATCATTTATAATTTATGTAAATAAACCACATACAAAACTTAACCAACATCTGAAGCACTGTCTATGTGAGGTAAGGTTTCTTGAGGTCTTATTTAGTCCCTTGAGGCTGATTCTGGGATAGTGGTCAGAAATAAGCTATGACCACTTTAATTCTCAATCATCTTGCCCTTCTCTGTACAGTCACAGTACATGGTAGTTGGTATAACTAACTAACTAACTAAATAGATGGCTTAGGTAACCCAAAGGTTTATCACCGAATTAACCAAAGCCCTCCACCGGTCTGTGTCCTGGGCCATGAAAATCCAGTTGCCTTCAACTCGTATCTCCCATAGATCCTGCCTGATATTATCCTCCCATCTATGTCTAGGTCTCCACAATGGTCTTTTGTTTTCAGGCTTCCTGACCAATACATGGTGCACACCTCTTGCCCCATCCATGCACACCACATGCCCCGCCCATCTCATTCTTCTTGACTTAATGACACTGACAATATCGGGAAAGGGAGTATAAATTTTTTGCAGTTTTCACCATGCCCCATCGTCTTCTCTCCTAGGCCCAAATATCCTCCTCAACACCCGATTCTCAAACACCTGCAATCTGTGTTCCACCCTCAGAGTGAGATACCATGTTTCACACCCATACAAAACAGCAGGCAAAAGTATTGTTTTGTATATTTTATTCTTTATATTTTTAGAAATCAGATGGGAAGACAAAATATTTTGAACTAAAGAGTAGCAAGCATTTCCAGAATTTTGTCTCCTACTTTCCTCGTGTAGTTGGTATAGCACTGTAAAATATCCAGAGTATCTAATGATGTAGAATTACATGATGTTTGCAGTTAATGCAGCTACTAGACTTGCGAAATGCACTGTACCTGAATCTCATTGAGTTTCTGCATGACCTCTACTCTTTTTGTTGATTCGTTGAGGTATGTGGGTATGGGCAGCAACTTGGGCCCCTGCTGCTGTGGCTGCTGCTGGGTCAGGGTAGACGATGTTGATATGAACTCTGTTGAGCTGATGGCACTGCTGGATGTCGACTTGACTGTCGTCTCATCAACCACCCACTTCTCGGATTTCTTTCGACGTTTTGCAAACAGCTCTGCACCTGCACAAATCATTCTGTTTATTTAGAGAATTAAATTGGAAGTTGAGAAAATCTTCACAAAGAGGAACTTCCATATCATTCTTAGAGAACTTAAATCAAGTGGTTACATTCAGTACTGTTGAATGTAGTATTTGGAATTCATATATTGACTGAGAATTTTAATTTTTTTCTCTCATTTCCTCAAAGCAAATGCTAGAACCCTAAAATGTGCCTTCTCTCCACTTAGTTTTCAGTTAACCCTCAATAATACAGTAATCATCAGCTTATTTGGCCCTGTATAAACCATGCAGATGAAAAATCATCATTAAATCAGTCAATTAGTGGTTACCATGGATGTTACATGGATGGCATGAACAAGAATCAAGTACAGAGTTTTGATTGGGAGACCTCTTATGAAGTGACCACTTGATCACCAGGATTAAACCAGTAGACGCTGTGTGAAGTAAGACTCCATTTGGTTTTAAGTCCTTATATATTGACAGTAAATGAGCCAAATTTATATATTACTAGTTGTAAAAGCATCTTATTTAAACATAACAAAATTGGAACTAGTGAAGTTCTCCAATATTTGAAAGTTATTAGACATAATCTCAAAGTTTGTGTTATTACTTTCTGAACAAGTTTATTGTTTGCATAGCTAATCAGTACTTTTTTCCCCCATAAAGAAATAATTTATACCCATTTGAGTATGTACGAATTTTTTGTGTAGGCCTCGTTTTTGGAAATGCATGATAGAATTTTATTTAAGTTTCATAAAGAATAGCTTTATAAGAAATGGACTGGTACTGATCAAAATTAAATTTGCCTGTCAGTTAATCTGAATTTATTGACTAGGTAGATGACATATTTTGATATGACTGTCCCATTACACTTTCATTGATGTACAGAATGAATACGTCTGGAACATGAGCTCCTCGTGAGTCTGCAAAATGTATAAAGGAACATGTTTTGCTATCCGTAATAGTTCAGGCTATTTTAAATTTTGTTACATTACTATTTCCTTTCTGTCCTGCTCACCTTTTCCTTTTGGTGCATTGAGGTCACGCACCAAGTCAAAAGCAACCTCTGGACTCATGGACTCAGGTTCGATGTTGTAGCCCTGACGCCGGAGGCTGTTGAGATCTTGAATTTGACCCCTGGGGTCCATAACAAGCCTCAGGACTGGTTTGTTTTCATCACGGAATTTCATTTCCTGAAGAACGGAAAGGTCTTTTACTGGGTGCAAGAGGTTTTCGGAGTCAGGGTGTATAAAGTACACAAAACAGACAGACATTGAATACCAAACCAAAACATTTTTTAGTCAAGTGATATATAATTCAGTGACATAAATATTATGCTATATTATGTTGATAGGATGAGCTGTTTTAGAGAAATTTTATGAAACGTGAATTTGTAAATATCGTTCTTTTTGGGATTTGAGGTTTTCATGCTGGTGAGTCTGAAGATTGCCTCCAGAGGCAGCAAGGACCTCTGAAACGATGGTAAACTTCTATCAGACTACATGGTGCAACAACCCAGAAGACAGCAAACTTCATCCTTCTTTTTGGTAAGCTGTAAGAGAAATCTTGCTATGTTTGACCTGTCATCTATACCCGTGAACGGTATTACCTGTGGGCCAATGTTGGGGATCTTGAATGGTAGCTTGTCATCTCCAGGAGTCTCTGGGATGTCTCCCTCGCCCTTGATCCCATCTTTCACGCCTTAAACAAAAGAAAAAAAATGTTACAGTATGAATGTCGACAGTAACAAGATGAGGGCTGAGAAAACATGTACTGGCTAATATTCAGACATGGGCCTGTTGTTAAAATGACGACATGGAGAGACTGAACCTATTAATGGCTGAGTTCGGTTTCGTGAGAAACATGATCTTAGAGAATTGCCCCATAACCAACCATATTGATATTTTTCGATATACAAAGTGTCTTGTGCAGAATTGTATATTTATGTTTTTAATCTCCCACCATACCCAGATTCACATGCCCAACTATGTAGTTTATTTCATCTGTCAGCAAATGACAGAATCGGAAATTTGATCAGCATGTGGCCATTTTCCGTTTTAGGCAGCAGATTTTTTATAGAAATGTTACACATAGTACCAACAATGAAAACAATGAAACGACCTTGGTGATCCTCTCTCCGTAGCAGCCATGTTAGTATCAGGGACCAGGGTTAAAAAAATACGTTGTGTAACCTCCAGAAGCATGACGAAGTACGTACATACCACCCAACACTCTGCGAGGATTATTTCTGTTCAGTACACGAGCCATACAAGACTGGAGGGCGTGGAAAGTAGCAGGAAAAGCGGTCACTGCCAAATAACCTCAAAAGCCGAACGTTATCAACCTCCCACAGTAAATGGACTATAGTTTTGCGTCTCCCTCCCCCCTCCTGCAGCTTTTCTCTTTCATCTGTCATTCCAAAGCCAGTCGTGTCTCAAAAGCTGTATGAAGCACGCGTTTCAAGAATTGTTTCCACTCTGTATAGTAGCCATCACTAAATTGCTTGGTTCAAGGCCACGGGAGGACTTCACACCTCTTACCGGCTCTAAGTTAATAGTACAGCTACGGTGCGAGTTCTGAGCGGTCTTCATTCGTATAGGCTCCTCTGTTCGTGTTGCAACCTTGTACCAGTTTGGTGTGAACTTGAAGCATGCAATGTGGTTTCTGTTACTGTAACTCCATGGAACATAGCTCTTGAGAAGCTAATGTCAATCGCCTAGTAAAAGACAATTTGTTATGTTTATGTAACCCGAAAATTTATTTCTGTGTTCACAAGCGGCCGCCACCGGTCCTTTTACAGAGCCACATAAACCAAGTTTGTACCTGACGATCCTATTCCCTGAGATTCATTGTGCCTCAAAAGTTATTTCCTACCATCGGATTTTCTAACTGAATTTCTGTAAATATTTTACATATGCCTCATGTGTTA